AAGCTGCTGTTAGAACCTGGAGAACCGCCTCCTGCTGCTGCATCACTAGTTACCAGGTAGAAGAGACTGACTGAGTCTGACTAGAAGCTGCTGCTAGAACCTGGAGAACCGCCCCCTGCTGCTGCTGCATCACTAGTTACCAGGTAGAAGACTTGATAGGAAACCAAGAGTTAAAGTTAATTTATCTGAGTGATAGTTTCTAATGACAAAAATAAATATTTAACTGTCTTCAAATGTTGTTATTAGTAAACCTGACTTCATGACTGATATAGTTCTGTTAGTTTGGCCTAAGAGAAGATTGCATCATCTGCAGAAAAGGGAAACCTTTAAAGCTTGTTTTTTTAAAGAATCATTTCAGCTTTGATGTCACAGCCAGCTGGACTTTTCAATTTGCTTTATTGCTTGATAATTGTGACATTTTGGTGCATCAGAAGCAAAGCAGAAGGCAATGAACGCATTCAGGTTCAAGCAACATTAATACCATTGAAGAGGTTACCTGACAAGGCACACTAAAATAAATCCCATTAGACCTTTAACATGTATGGTTGAATGACGGCATCAAATGAACACCCGAGTGGATGAAAATCCTCCAACATCATATAAAACATTAAAAATAAAACTAATTTGTGGCACCTAAGCTTCCTTATTAGACCTGAAATCTCAGAATGTTAAACTGATGAAAACTACTAATACAGCATGAGACTGTTTTTGCTTGAATGTTTTATGTGGTTTAATTAACCTTATTTCTTTCATTCTTTTAAACTGTTTCTTTAATCCATTTTAACTTTACTTGGTATGTACATCACTTTGTGGCAGCTGTGGTTGTTTTGAAAGACTTTATAAATAAAGTTGAGTTGAAGGAATAAAAAACAAAGAGCCTGAGACAGAAACTCCGTTTAGAAAGAAGATTTATTGAGAGGTTCTGCTTCCTGTCAGAGGAACCTGATGGAGACGACAGGTGATTCATTAAAGTTCTGAAGGTTTCAGTTGGAGCCACACAGAAACAGATTAACTGATATAAACATTGATAGTTTTATTAGAGAGGCTCTGATTTAATGATTAACAGCTGGTTGAATTTAATTGATTGATGACATCATCAGCTGCACTCGTTCCCTTTGACCAGGAAGAAGGTTCCCACGGCGACGCCAATGAGTCCGATGGTCAGACCGACTCCACAGAACACAGCAGGTCCCACACTGGGCTGAGGACCATGGACGTCCACATCTGGAGACAGAGACATGAAGGTCCAACATCTGAGACCAGGTTCTGGTTCCTCTGAGAAGGTTCCTTACCAAACATCTTAGTCACTGGTTCCTGTAGAGCAGGATGCTCCACTGAGCAGCTGTAGACGTCTCCCAGCTGAGGGATGAAG